CCCTGAAGATATCTCCAGGGGTGCCCTAGGAGCAAAGTTCCCCCAGGATGGGTAAGGACAGAGTGACCTCTCAGCAGCCAGGACAGTGCATGCAAGGATTGTTCCTGCAGAAGAGAAATAATGGATCAGGCTGAACCAGCAATTTTCTAGAAAAAAGAAACTTATTTGGGAAAGGGACAATTTTAAAGAGACTGAGCCTGTTCATAAATTCAAGTCAAATTTAGAGATTACTTTCAGCCTCTGGATTCTTCTATCCTCCCCTTTCCCTTCCCCCCTTCCCCCGAATTATTGTTTGCAAAAATTAAAACAAAATGTTTTGGGGCTTTCGTTTGTTTAAAAAGCAATTTGCATTTTGAAAATTGCCAAAATATAAGCTTTGGGAGGGTGGGTCCTTTTGAAAGGGCAGCATTGTCATTGCTGAATGAAAACTAAGGAGAAGGAATGCGTCCTGGGAGAGGCAGGGCATGGGGACATGGGGCCTGGGGGACAGAGCAGCAGCACAAAGACCACAACCACAGCTCCCACCACACAGCTCCAGCCTGTGCTTCCATTCATGTATCTCCTTTCACTCTCCCAAATGGAAAATCTTGCCCACCTTGACCTTCTCTGGGTGATTAATTTGCCCCAGTTGCTGTTTTCAATGCGGAGGAGATTCTGCGGTACTTTCTTCAGCCGGGTCCAAACCGCAGCTTTCCCCTTTCCCACTCCAGCCTTCTCCAAGTTTCTGAACATCTGTGTTTAAATGAAATCTGGTTACTCATATCAGAGCCTGGCTGCTCAGGTAGAGGCAGTTTGATGAAGCGCTGTACATCTGCGTGCCATAAAGCAAGCGAACGAAAGGCTTGTGAGGTCCTTGGCAAGAGGAGAGAAAGAGGAGAGCAGGAGACAGCAGCACTGAGCTTAGCTGAGCAACTGCAGCAAAACCCCTTCATCAGAGAGGTCTCAGCACCTGGCCCATGTTTTGCTCATAGCTGGGTCTGCAGCCCACACAGGGGTGTCTTCTCCCCCAGGTGAAAAGCAGAGCGTGGGGAGCGTAGGTGATGCCAAGACCGGGAGGTGATTTTTACTACAGCTGGCAAAGGCATTCATAGAAAGAAAAGCTGGGTTGCTAAAGAGCCACTTAGTGTGGCAGGGAAATTCTAACCAAGAAGCAGTGGCTGAAAATTAAAGCCAGGCCAAGCCGTGTTAGGGACGAGGCAAAACTCTTTAGCGCAGTGGGGGATTAACCTCGGGTGAGGGAGGGTGGGAGCTGCCTGTCCTGAGTGCCTCTGTCCAGGGAAGTGTGGCCAGGTGAGCCACAGGCCCTGCCCACCATGGGCAGCATGGGGAGCACCCAGGGACTGTGCACAGGCTGGGAGATGGGATCCAAGAGCATCACGACCCACTACGGGGTCCACAGCACTCAGCGCCTCCGCGTGATGGATCCCATCCCGGCGTGTCCCAGCAAGGACTTTCTGATGCCTGGATGGGTCATTTACTGCATTGCCCTAGTTCCTGAGTCCCTCTGTTATTGTCAGAAGAAAATAGGATGGCTATTTTCCTTCAGTCAGACCAAATCCCTCCCACTGGGCATCTGCAAATATATCAGGCTGCAGCCCTGGCTGGGGGCCAGGGGTTCACAGTGCTGGCGACTCAGGACCCAGGCACTCAGGGTGAACACAAGAGACAGTAATTTCAATTAAAAGCACTCTCCCCATGTCAGTTTGGCCACTTCTGTTGGCAGAAACAGGTGGATCAGGAGGGGCTGGATGATGGCAGTGCAGCTATGCTCATGGGATTAAGAGGCAATCAGTGTCCAGGGGTGTCCTCTCTGCCTTGGGAGCGCAGGTGGAAGGAGGAGACAGGACCAAGGCTGAGCTGATGGAGCCAAAAAAAGCTGAGAAGTCACAGTGGAGGGGTGGCTGTCACTCCCTGGCTGCTTGTGGTGCCTGTGGGAAGCTCACAGGGAGGTCATGTTGCTCATGGACATGGGCTGGACCAGTCCACACCTTCTCCCAGCTCATTCACTTCCTCCTTGGAGGGTTTATATCCCAAGGCACCCACAATACTTAGGTTGTTGAGTCTGGGTGAGGACAGGGATGGCTGTTTTGGGGAGCTCCTTGCAGTGTGTTGTGAGGTTCAGCTTCTTCTCTTCTTCAGACACTGATTTTCCCATCCCTGGAAGATCAATGTAAAATTGATCCCAGGAGCAGAGCTGTGAGCTGTTCTGCACACTCCATGTATTCCTCCACATTCCTGTGCAGCTCTGCTCTGGTGGGACCAGCAGAAATATTAGCAAAGAACTTGAGAAAATCCCAAGAGTCCTGTTTTCCTGGCTTTGCAAAAACATTTCTGCTTATCAAGCAACCCAAAGAAATGCGAAGATTTTCAGACACTCTTCGTGTGGGCTCAGCTTTGAATTTTAAAAAGGGATTTGCCAATGCAATCTTGCAAAATACTTGAGTGCCAAGTCCAGCTCTCCTAAAATACAAGTTTTAGGAGGAGGTGAGCTTTCACTCTCTGGGGAAAAATTGCATTTCTGACAGAGTCAAGGAAGAGCTAAGTCTTTTGTGAGGCCATGCCACCCCCTGGAGAAATGGCTCCTCTTGTTAATCAACAGGGACTAAATCCCGTGGTTTGTAGCACCAAAGGCAGAGCTGCTCATGAACCTCAAGGCTTTGAAGGATGGAGATGTGCCTGTGTAGTCACAGGCTACAGCAGGGATGACCAACTCTCAGACTAAGGGATTTAAATCTCTTTTTTCCTCTGCTTGAGCTGAGTCCTGAGGCTGTGCCATTGATACAGGTGTTGCCTTGGGATTTAAGTACAGCCCAGAGATCACCCTTCATGTCACAACCCTCATTCATGCCTGGGAAGAGGTTCTGCCTTGAGTGAAGGAACCAGCCCTTGGCCCTGCACCTTTCTGAATGCCCAGAAAAAGGGTTTAATCTCAGCATCTTGGTTCACCACTGTAAAACAAGGATTTTACCTTCTGTAAAACAAGGGTTGGGACTTTAAAAACCTCACCTCCTTCCCAAAAGCTCAGCTCGTGTGTTCTGCAGGGTAAGAATCATCTCTAACCCCCTTATTTTTGCTGCGTGTGGTGGAGCCATCATGGTGGCTGGGGCTGCTCAGCACGTGTGAGACGAGGAGGAACCAGAGCTGAGCAGCTGCTCCAGCAAGGCACAGCATGCTGCTCTTCCTGAGGTTTAGATGGGAGGGGAAAAGCCTCCAAAGAGGGCACAGACAGTGACTGGTGCGTGCTCCTGGGCTTCTTTCAGCTGCAAACAGGCTGCTAAAGCGCAGTATCAGCACATGTGCCTGTGGGACCAGCCAGATCCCAACAGCAGCGATTCCCTCGGGATGCAGGAGCGGTGTCTCCAGCCTCCCTGATGGTCGTCTCCTGTTTCAGGAGCTGACAAATGCACCCACGGGGTGCTGGGCTCATCTGAAGGAGAGGCAAACCGCGGTTCAAAGTCGTGGCCCCGCTCAGTGTCAGGAATCTCACTCCCTCACGGCCGGCAAACCGCTCCGGGGCCGCTCCTGTCACCATTAGCACGTTGGTGGCTGCTGCTCCTGCTCTGCCAGCGTTTGGTGGGGACCTGAGGTTTGGCCTCAGCACGTCAGCTGCAGGAATTCCGATTGCAAGGCATGGAGAGAGCAGGCTCTGTCCCGCTGGTTGGATGGGGATGGAGGATTTCGCTGTCCCCTTTCCTTTCACTTCGTGTGTCAGCTGGGGATTGTTCCTGATGAATAATGCGGAACTGCGCTGCAATTTTCTGGGTTGAAATTTGATAATTAAGCAAATACAGCATGCCTTTGTGTTGGGCAAGCACCATAAGGTAAACAGGAAGGAATGAGGGATTAAGATGTCTCTGCTCTAAAGGAAGGTGACAAGCCCAGAGCCGTGACACCTTCGTGCCGAGCCGAGAGGCCCAGCTGTGGGCTGGCATGGCACAGCTGCATTGTTCAGGGGTGAAGAGCAAATAAAAGCAACGGGAAAAGAAAACAAGCTATAAAATTCTCAGCAAAGCACAGAGCCCCAGCAACCGCCTCTTGATGTCCCCGTGACAGCTCAGGGGAGAGGCAGGCGAGGGGTCGGGCTTTTGAAGTCCTAAAGTTGTCCTTTGCGAAGGCCCCCTGTTAAAATAGTGCCTGTGTTGACATTAGGCTGCATATGGTGGAGGAATTGGACATCTCAGTCACAGCACATGCAATCAAAGCACTGGGGGGACTTCTTGGTATTTGGCTAACGGGGTGTCAGGCTGCCCCTGCCCCGGGCAGGATGGGGGAGGCAGAGGTGAGGTTTATCAGCACACTCAAGGCTGCTGATGAGTCACAGAGCCTGTGGTATGGAAAGACGAGGAAGAAACTAGCTAGGAAGGTCTTGAAATGGTATTTGGAACTCAAACATGCATGTGTGTCAGAACTGGTGAGAGTGGGAACACTGGGAAGGTTGGGGTTGGGCAGGTGATGATGGAAACCCTTTCCTGCAGGGGTGGGCAGAGGGGGTTCCTCAGGTACTGAGAAGTGGGGGGTTCACAGTGGTTTGGGGGCCTTTGTACTGAGCAGTAGCACAATATAAAGTGAGAGTGGATGAGAAAGGAGAGAGCAGTGCTTGCATGGGACAAAGTGCTTGTGACAAAGCTGGAGAAGCAGTGGTGGAGGGGTGCTCTGTTCCCTGCATGGATGGGCCCCCTGTCCTCACAGCCCTACCTGCACCCAGATTCTAATCCACGTTAAGAGCAGGGAGAGGCAAAGGCACATTTGCTGCAAGTCGGGGTAGTGAAACAAGGTCTTGGTGACCTCAGCTTCCCCTCCAGAAAGCTGGACTTACCATATAGGCTCGGTCAGGAAGGGATGTGGGTTAGCAGCTGCCACCAAAGCATCCCACCCTGTGACCCCCCCGCTCTGAAAGGGCACACTGGGTGCCCAGCCCTGCTCACAGGGGCTCCCCCCGGGTTTGGCACCTCTGTGGCCGGGCACAAACGGTGACGATCTCCACTCTTTGCCTCTCTCAGCCTGCAACTGCAACCTGCACGCCCGGCGCTGCCGCTTCAACATGGAGCTGTACAAGCTGTCGGGGCGCAAGAGCGGCGGCGTCTGCCTCAACTGCCGGCACAACACGGCGGGGAGGCACTGCCACTACTGCAAGGAGGGCTTCTACCGAGACCTCAGCAAGCCCATCTCCCACCGCAAGGCCTGCAAAGGTACCGGGCTCGGGCGGGGGATGGCCGGGGCCCCGCAACTCATTCCCCTCCAGCCCCTTCCTGCAGCTCCTGTTCTGCAGGAGCCAAACTCCCGCTGCTCCTCCCTCTCCCAAACCAACTTGAAATGGCTTTTCTTGCTGTTTCAAATTGCTTTTCTTGCCCCCACGTTCCCTGACATCACCCCTCCCTGGTCTCCTCCTCGTGAGGATGAGGCCACTGAAATACAACAACTCCTCACTGCTGAGGATGACTTGAAATGATTCCAGTGCTCATCAATTATCACGTGCTTCGTCTGCTGACCTGCTCATCACACATGTAAAGTGCACAAAATCCCAGGTACGGGGTCAGATGCAGCATCTGTAGATCAGCCTCCCCTGAATACCCATCTCCAGCTCCCCCACTCCACCCTCGCCCCGGCACTGCTGGGGCACAGGCAGCACTCAACCCACGCACAGAACATGTCACTCCTCCGGACGAGGAGGGAGCAGTCAAAAGGGAAACGGGTTTATTTTGGGCTCAGAGTTTTTTGAGGCTTCCTCGTGTGGACGTGGAGGCGAGCTGGGCTTCAGCTGGGGCGGGAGCAGCAAGAGGAGCAAATCCTGCAAACGAACCTTTTCCGCTCTCAGCTGGGGGAGATGTAAATCCTGGACCTGAGGTGCAGTGAAAGGGATCAAGCAAACGTTCAAAAGCCAGACTAGAAAATGCTGGGGTTTCCCACAGAAATCTTCAGCTCTTCTCTCTCTGAAGACTCATTTCAATAAGAAACGAAAAGCTTTTTGGCCTCAGCTGGGTATTTTTGGCTGGAAAGTTTTGAGTCTTCAGCATTTTAATTTTTAATGAAAATGCTGCTGCTTTTTTTTTTTTTTTCCCCCACTGAAAACAGACACTTTTTGCCAAAACAGAAAAAGAAACCACTTCTTCAGACAGTCCTGTTCCTGCCTTTTCACCTTGTAAAAACTATTCCAACAAGATATTTTCGACCCACCCTGCACTGAGCTCCTAACCAGCTCCAGCTGATGTGTGGGCTGCTGGGAACCCCATCCGTGGGCCTGGGGGGGAAAGGAGCTGCCATTTCAGATTGCAAGGAGCCAGAAGGGAGGGGTGTTGAGGGGCTGAGCCACTTCCATGCCAGTCCCAACACTCAGGATCCCAGAGGGACCCCAGCTCTGGCAGGGAGCTGCATGTTACGAATGGAAATGCCTTGTCCTCCCATCCTGAGGGGATCCGTGTCAGAATAAAGTCAACATTTCTTCCTTCCCACCCAGGTCACTGATGAAATAACAGTGAAATAGCAGAGAAATAATGTTAGATTGGGCCAGTCAAAGGTAAAGGTGAAGGTATGGGCACTCCTTGAGGGGTGCATGTGGGCATCCATCACCCTCCATCATCAGCACTGCTGCTGTCCAGAGCTTGATTCCTGTTTACCTTCCTTCTCCCCAGAAAGGGTTTTGGGCTGCCCTGCTGGGAAGAATTCTTGCCCTCCCCAAGCACAGTAAACTCCCTCCCAGGGCTGTGGTTTCTGCCTCCCCAGTATGGGGACTTCTGGGCATGTGGTGTGATTTGGAGGAGAGGAGGGTTCTTTGTCAGCCATGGGCTCACTGTGCATCCACAGGGATTCCAGTCCTCTGGGATCAGCACAGGGAGCATGGAGCAGGGAGGGAATGCTTGGCTGGATGGTAGGATGGATTCTATCCCCTCCTTTTCCATCCTGGGAAAAGGCAGTCTGCGTTGGCAGTGATGTTCATGCTTAACCCTCTCTTGACTGATCCTGGCACTTCCCAGGACTGTCCTCATTCCTGCTTTTCCCAGCTCTCCTCCCTGGCCAGGCAGCCTGTTCCCCCTGTCCTGCCCATCCCTCCTTGTTGTTCCCTGGCCCTTCCCTCTGCTCACCCCTCCGTGGCTGACAGCACAGTGCTCCTACCCAAAAACACAGATGGGTGGTACCTGCAGGTGGGAAACCTCAGAGCTGCCTCAGTTTCCCCAGGAGAGCACCAAGAATTCAGGCACTGGCCTCCATGAGGCCCTCCACAAGCATTTTAGGCTGAATTTCCCAGTTGCTGGGTCATTCACTCTATTAAATGCTCTTTGCAATTGTCCTTTTCTCACCCTCTGCCTTCTCGAACCGCTCCTGCACTTGAAATTGGAGGTGACCAAATTTAAATACTTCTCCAACCACCCATGGTTTGTAACAGATACAAAGGTATGTGATAACTGTGCTGACCAGCTCCCACCTTGCAGCCTATGAGCAGGATTTTACAGTGCTTGTTGGGTTATTGTTGGTGTAATCCATTGTCCTGTACAAAAGCAGCAAAATGAAGTTTCCCACAGCACAGGCATTCCTTTGAAAACTTGATTTCCTGAGCTCTGTTCATGACACAGTGGAGGTTTGTATTCCCTCTATTTTTCTTTCCCAATTCAGGGCTTTTTCTGAAATAATTGTTGAGAACAGACATATTTAAAAACCAACCCTATCATCTACCAGCTTCAGCCATCTCACCATTGATGACATTTGTCATCTCACCAAACCAGCTGACAATGGGCAACCCTCTCCCAGAGCCTCACCTCGACCAAATGTGTTTCAAATTGAGGAATTAACCATTCTGAAGCATCTGCCATCTCCCTCAGCACTACCTGCTGTCTGCTCTCACCCAGCAGACTGTTTTCTCCATAAGACTGGAATCTTTCAGCCATCACATTGCTCTAATTGTGTTCCACAGTGTAACAAATTCAAATAAATTCATATAACAGAGCCCTGGTGCCTTGGGAGCTGCCCATGGCACACTCACCTACACTGGCAAGTGTGTGAGCTCACAGCAAACACCCCACGAAAGAGCTGCCAAGGAGAGTTTTGTATTAATTCCACTCCTTCACTCACATTCATCTTCCACTCCATCCTATACAAGAGGTTATGTACCTCAACTGGTAACACACCTAACCTTAGAAAATTAGAGATGCATTCTTTTCAGTGGTTGGGTGGCTATTTCTGCAAAAATACACTGTTGCAGAAATGTTTGCACAAAGTCTACTTAATTTTAACTTGGGGAAAAAGAGAAACCCACAAACTTTTGCACATGTTTGTAGGGTGCAGTGTGAGGCTCAGGCAGCAAAAGGCGAGTAGAAAGCAGAGCTGGGTAACATCCTCCTGCCCATCACAGGGCTGTTTGGCTTCCTAATAGCCAAACCTATAATAGCTGTTAAATTATAGATTTTTTTAAATGATCTGAAGGTGTCTGAGCAGCACAGATGAAGGCAAAAGAAGCTGGGCTTTAAGGCTGACTTTTCCCCAATGGGATGCAGCTGTGCCATGTAATTCCCCTCTGCGTTTGCTCCCAGTGGTTTTCTTGCAAAAATGATAAAAGCAAAGAATTTGTCAGTGCCCAGAGATGCCCTTGTCACAGAGCCACAAAGGCAGGGCATGGCACGGAGCCTGCAAACCACATGCAAAGGAATTGATGACAGATGGAGCAGGGATATTGCATGAAGTGGCAACGCTGGGCGTGCGCCAGAGCCTGCCAGGCTGGGGCTGGAGCTGGAGCTGGGGCTGGGCTGGGGCTGGGGCTGGAGGAGTGTGGTTGCTGTGGGTGGGTGGTCAGGCAAACCCAGGGTCAGCAGTTACTCAAGCCAGGGCTTGGGTTCCCCCGGTGTTTTGAGGTCAGACCCCACAGCTGATCTGTGCGTGGCCCCAGCTGGGGACTCTGGGGCTGGAGGAGTCCCGTGGTCCTGCTGCTCCTCCGCTGGGGGGATGGATGGGCTCATCCCAGAGGGTGAGGGAGCAAGGATGCCCTTTGCCCTGGACACATCAAACCCCTGGTGTTGCACACACCCTTTAGGTGTGGGGCTGTCCAGAGAAGCAACAAAACTCCAATATAAGAAATTCTGCACGTTCATCTTTTAAGACAGACAAGGGTGAATTGTTCCTTTTCTCACTAGTGTTTGAGAAAGCACAAAGAGTTCCCAACACACCAAAGCCCTGCTTCCAGTTCCTTCTGCTTTCCCTCGGCTCCGAATGATGTTGCAAGTGAAATTCCACATCTGGGTCCTGCAAACCTTCCTCCTCCCTGCTCTGTCGTGAGCCGCTGTAAATCAGGGCCCTGGTGTTATTTCTTTTGATTAAATTCCCTCCTGATATTTGCCAGATTATTGGCACTAATGTAATTCTATTGGAGCAGAGAGTCTGCAGGATTTTATAGCCCGGCTGTAAAACAGCCCTGCGCTTGGGGGAGAGGCTTTGCACACTTTTTGATGAAAAGATGACAAATGATACACGTTATGAACGCACTTGTGCTGAGGCTGCCAGCGTAAACCCCTTGTGGAGGGGCAGGATTTGGCACCTGGAGAGGTCACGTTCATTAGGACTCCATGTTTTGGTAACAAATGGGATTGTCTGATTCCCTGGTGCTGCCACAGCTCCACGCCTGTGCAGAGCCTGGCAGGTTTTCCATCTGCATTGAAGTGTTCAATGGCTTGTTCAAAACCCAAAAAGCACTCCCAGCCTACCTGCCCATCCTGGCTTGTACCCACAACGGGTCAAGCCTTCGACATTTTCATTTTGGAGGCAGTGGGGTTGAAGCAGAGGGAGGGGGAGTGCCATCCCATGGGCTCAGCCTCTGATCCTTGATTTCATGGATGCAGATTCAGGTTTTTTTCCCACTCAGCTGCAGGCCCTGGGTGGGGGGGATAACACAGCCTAACCCCTTTGGCTCCCGGTGCTGCCTGGAGAGGAGAGCAGAGCCTCTGGTGACAGGGACAGTGGGAAGAGTCCCTGCCTCTCTCCACTGACTATAGAGGGAGCTGCGTGACCAGCTTAGAGCTGACAGCTCATTCCCACGAGGCTGAAGCCAGGGGAGATGGGACCTGTCCTTGCTGCCCGGAGCCCCGCTGGGCAGTTGGGGTGCAGAGGGCCGTGGGGATAAACCCCCCCTCAGACAGCAAAGTGTGAGAACAGGCTTGCTGCCATCCCTGTGCTGGTGCCCCACCAGTGTCCCATGGGCCATGTCCCA